GTAAGTTGCTAACTCAGGTGCCAGGGAAGCTAGAAAGCTGAAATTTTAAGGGGATGTTTTCTGACAATTCTGACGGCCAGTCTTAATTTGTTTAGCTAAAAGCATTTACCGAAAAAACAGGTGCCGGTAGCAACGAAAACTACGGGGAACCGTGCAAAAAACGCATCTTCGCACGGGCAGCCCGTGGGTTGGCCAATTATTTTTTTTGGAAAAGAGCATGAGGCCACTGCCCACTCTCATTCTCGGAGTTTTCCAATCAGCTTTACGGCATTTCCGCTGTTCTAGGATAAACTTTTGTATATATTTTCATTCTGTGAGTAAATTCAAACTAGTAGTTTTTAACGAAGGCACATGCAAGTTTTCTTCCATACCTTTTCAAATCACTGCAGCCGATTTCGTCCTTTTGCGTGCTGCGGTTGTAGTTGATTTGGTAGCTATTTTTGCGACCCTGTCCCTTCTCATACCCTTCCAGTGCCTAACCATACTGCTCACACTCACTAGCCTTCAGCAACTGTACTACATAGTTTAGCATGTGTACCGGCTGTAAAGAGTCTGAAAGACTGAAGTATTAATTGGTTGCCAAACGCGCAGCGGTTGCAACTGTTTCGGTTTAAAATCCATATAAATGACTGGAAATGCTGTCAAATTATTTGGATAGATTGTTGCTTTATATGCCGGACAATCGATATCCTGTGTTGGAGTGATCGTGTACAGGCTCGATACATTTGTCGACTCCAAATCTTTATCCAACACGCTCGCTAAGAAGTGCAGATCATACAAATCATTCTGCCCCTCGGGCTTGCACGCTGCAACACAATGCACTGTAAATAACTGGTAGCACTTAGCAGTTCGTCGGTGTAATTAGGTTTCTTGCACTGTTCTCTCATCTGGACTTTCACATCTGGAAAAATAAAACATGCGAGGAAGGTAATTTTAAACTAATGGTTAACGTCTATAGAAATAACGGGTTCGATATTGCCAAAATAGAAGGTCTCGCCTTCAAATTCGGCTTCAGGAACCGGCCCGCATTCACCAAATTCTTTTTTCCTGGCGATCCCGAAAACAAAGACCTAGCCAGCGTACTGCTCTTACAAGGAATGTATGATTTGCAGACTGGATTTGGTAGCTACTATACAGTTCCACCGGTATAAAATTCACATTCATTTTTCTTCGCATCCCTCACCTTTATCTTAACTGTTCT